AATACTGGCTCTGGAGGCAGCACTCCAGAACGAGCTTTGATAAATGTTTAATACAGAAAACTGTTAACTGGAAGGGCCGTTGCCAGCACCCTTGTGATCTCAGACCACTATCCTCACCTGACTGAGCTCCCAGCCTCTCCTCTCAGCCTGCTCTGCCTTTGCAGCACCTCTGGCTCACAAGGCACTCCGTTCTCTCAGTATATGACTTACTGTCCTCATGTCTGCCTGCTTAGGTGCCATTAATGGTTTAAAATACAGCTCTTTAGTGATTGCTCTAATTTCTGATGTTCCTATGCTCAAGTAGATGAGGAATGACAGCTGCATCAGGTAGTGATTTGAAGTGGGTTTTAGTGCTGGGGTTTATTATCCACAGTGCAGATAAAGGTTCCCACCGGCCCAATTCTGACTCACTCCTACTATGGGCATAGCTTAATAAATGACATTTAACCAGAAAGAATAAAGTAATTAACCTGTGGCTGAGAATAAAGATGGCAAAAGCTTGCTAACCTGGTAAGCCGTCATCATTACAGGAAAGAGCTCACAGCCTAAACCACACACAGAATGAACAGCACAAGAACAAAAGACAGACATCTATAAAACTGACACTAATAAATGTTCTGCAAGTTTTTTTCCTCCTTTCCCTCACAGCCCCACACCTCAAGAGATCAGATTTCTCATCCAAGACTTAAAAATGTGGACACTTTCAGTTCCTTCTGCTTTTACCCGAACTTTTTGACCTCACTGAAGAAAATGTCCCTCTGAGAAATGTCTCTCTGACAGTGTAGGTGAGCCAGGTTAATGAACTGATTAAAGTACTTCTCCATGAAAACAGAATGCAGCATGTCACTTCAAAAATTCCCACCACTGATAGGAAACTGCCAGTACAAGGTGAGGCTGTAAGAAGATGGCGAATCTCCAAAATGAGCATTAGATACATTTTCTGCCCACTCAAATCAAAACATCTGGAAAATTCATATGTTAAGTTGCAAATGAAAAGCACAGCCATCAAATATTAAACTTGTGACACCAGCTACTGCTCTAATGCATGCAGTTATTGTGATAATAGTAACACTTCTGGCATTACACTCTTGTTTAGAGGATTTTTACCTTTGCCCTCATTTATTTAAAGAAGATTTTTAATATATTTCTTCCTCCACTATTCACAGAGGTGGAAATGTGGAGAATGGCTCTCCAAGCTATGCAGTCTAAGCAACCACCACCCACCATCCCAAGTGCCTCAGTCCTTCCTTATTTCTTTTCACTCATCACTGACAACAGTTCAAAATTAATTCCTAGTACTGATCCCTGCTGGTTTATATCCTGTTCTGCTTTTGTTGTTGTTTGTTTGTTTTTAAATTCCTTAATGATTCTTTCAAAGAAACTTAGATCTAGCTTAATTCCTTTGCTGTTGAACTTTACAATTTTGCCTGCAATTTTGTCTCCTTATAAGATCAAGGGTTTTTTTTACAGTTATTCCTAAAAGCATCCTTTCCCATTTTAGTACAAAGCCGACAAATCTGTTCTCTCCTATACAAAACCTGGGCTGCTTTGCTGAGCTACAGGAACAGATGTCAGCTGAAGTCTGGGACATCAGTGCTACTGTGCAAGTTACCAACCAAATGAGTGAGGGCCACACGCCTACTGACTGTAAGAAACCTCTGGTACAACGGCAGCTCTTGGATCTTTTCTTAGCTTTGAATATTTTAACTTATCTCTTTGCACCTGCAATCAGGTCTAGCATACTGATCAAATGTGAAAAGTGCTTGGCTTCCAACAGGGACCTATAAAATCAGAAAGGCTTTTCTTAGCCATTCTCGGCACTCTATGTGCTTAAGTCTGTAACACCAGGCATTACTAGCATGTAGCAAAGATACTTCGTTCTACATTGGTGATACAAAACTTTCTGTACTACATGGAGAGTGTATAAGAAATAGCAGCCATACTTTGACTTGTCTTTTCACCATTTAAAGCATAAAATCTGCTATTTCTCATCTGTGGTGTGTGGGAATTCATTTTAAATCTTTTGAATTACTGTTCAGTCCAGTATTGCTTCTAAGCTGCATTGCTGTTTCTGATTCTCAGTTGAAGAACATTTCCTATTCTTCCTTTTCTTTCCAGTTTTCACAGAAAAAATATGAGTTGGAAGTCTGTGCTAGTCCAAAAGACAAGTGCCTGAAGACTCATATTTCTTTGTCAGCTAATATGGCTTTCAGATATACAGGCTTGCCCAAAAATTGTGTATGTCTATAGGATTAGTTTCAGAAGCTTGAGTAGAGAAACTGCAGTTTTACCAAACTGGAGTGATAGCACCTTCTTAGGCTACTGTGCAATAGCATTCCAGATAGTCAGTGGTTTATACAGGGTACAGAAGCAGAGTAGTACCCAGCTTATATGTAAATAATCCAAGTATTTTAATTCCTGCTGTTCTTCTAAAGAAGCAAAGTGCAAGCTGGTAGATTTAACAGCTTAATGCAGTTTTGTTGCTTTATCACAGCAACAACAACAAAAATTGTTATAGTCTGTGGTTCCAGGTTCTTAACTGCAATGTCAAAAATGTATCTGAGCTGCTTGAGGGAAAACTGACAGCTACCAGTTCTGTGCAGTCCCATGCAGCTGTTCATCTCATCCCCAGGGTAAGCATCCACCCCAAGAGCTACTGCTGGAAAGTAATTTAGCTGTGAATGCCCAAAGGCATCCACCTTGCTCTGCTGTGCTCCAAAGTAGCTGCAGGCATCAAGATACAGTTGTATGTCTGTGCCTTCGGGTATGAATACCAAAGCAAGGGAAGGTATAGAGCAGGAATTAATATGCACTCCAACTTTATACTGGACTCAAGGAGTGTTCACAGTTTGTGATTCAGCAAGAAAGGCAGAGCTTAGGCCCTTCATTAGGAAGCTGAGTGTACATGATTAAGATCAGCAGAAGAGTAGTCACAGAAACAAACCAGTGTCCAAAGGGATTCTGCAGGGAAGAAGTGAAAAACTACTTATTCCATAACAGTTCAGTAAGTGAAGACTTTTTTCCTTTGGTAAGGTCTACACAGCTACCTCCCAAACACCAGTGTTTGCTGTTTGTGCTTCTTGACAGCTGCTATAATTAGTTTCCCATTAAAGTAACTCAGACATTTCAGAAGAGGTAGGTGGCATATGATGAGCTAAAGGTGTATGAAGAGAAATTATCTGTCCCAAAGCTTCCCAGCGTGCTTTTTTTCCCACCAAAGTCTTCCTGGACTGAATGAATGATCACTGCTCCAGTCATCAACTTTCACAGACAAAGTATAAAGCTTACATATTTCAGCAAGTAGAGAATTACCTTGATTAACAAATAACAAGCAGCTGTCAACATACCAGCTGCAGGAGATAAAAGGGATGAAGAAGAGGCCTATAGTTGCAGAGAAGGCTGACTTAAGAAGCAGGAGGAAAAATTATGGCTTGGTAAGAAAGAGGTATGTAAGCTAACTCTGGGACTTGCTACAGAAATAGAGAGTGTTTTCCAGGTAACAGGCCTAGCTAAGGTAAGAGCTGACCAGATGGCAGAGCTCTAGAGTAGGTCTGGTTTCTCAAGGTGTTCTGTACAGTGGTAAAAAGCTTAGCAACAGTTACGTGGGGTCAGAAGATAGATAGTTATATCACTCTGAGTAGACAAGTGTTTAACAATGAAAACAAGACCATAAGCATAGAAAGCAACACGCTTTCTGACTCAATGTCTTACTCTCTCTTTGCAATATGTCTTATCCTTATCCAGATTGCTAGCGTCAATGTTGTGTTTTACAATTTTTCTTTTGTATCGGATAAAGGATGGCAGATCAGACTGCATTTAAGGACAAAGAGATCTTCAGTCTGAGACTCCTTGACTTCAGCTTTCAAAAAAACCACTATAGTTTGTAAAATCATCATGGTATTCGGTGTATGGAAGCTGCACAAAAGAACTATTAGCCATGAGTTAAAAATATATATTCTCCTAACTTCATCCTGAAATGCTAAGGGTGAGGGCTATTCCTAGGCCAGGCAATTCAGACTCAAGTACAACAGCATTATTAAGCTTTGGTCCGTAAATAACTATTGATCTGAAAACCAATTAAGTTAGCTCTCCTCCAGATGTTGCTTTAAAGGTTTTATTCTTCTTGTAAAAGCAATTTCTCATACAAGCAATCATCACTCATATAAATGTGTGCCACCAATCCCTGCTGAATATTCAGGCAGCTCTATATTGTTTCACAACCTTCCTCTTTAAGATGGTGTTTTCTCCAAACTTTTTCCTAATGTTGTTTGCTCTCTCTCTTTGGAGAGAGCAACCCAAACAAACCCACGTACAATCATTTGCAGCATATACTGTTTATCTCCAACACAGCCTGTGTATAGGTGGTACAATTTCTATGCTACTTTTACCTGCCAGCTATCATCACAATGCACGTAGCAGTGATTGTCGAAGATAACACCGAACTGCACCGCGCATCTCCAGCAGGCTGCTCCTCTCTGAGCATCGATTTCTTTCTTGCAGGAAGTTTCGCGCGGATCGGTTTTGCATAAGTGCTATAAACGCGGTTCGGTGGAGCTCGGACAGCGGCAGCACAGCGACCGCGGGGTCCTCCGTCACCGAGAGCATCGGGTTTACTAGGGGACGTACGCGCATGGAAGCACGCTATCCCGAAAGTATTTTATTAAGCACAGATCGACTCACCGCTAGAGCAGGAAAATCGGCTGTTATAGGAAAAGAAAGGACCAAATCCTCGTTTTCTCACTTTAATTTCTGCTATCCGCGCGGCAGGGAGGCATGGCGGCTGCGCACCTCCCGGCCGGTCCCGGCGCGGCCGCGGCCCCTCGCAGCCCAGCGCCGCCCGCGCCCGCGGGAGAGGCGCCGCCCGGCTCGGCACCGCGCGTCCCTTCCGCCCGCCGCCCGGTACCGCGGTGGAACAGCGCTGCCGCTCCTTCGCTGCCTCCCGCGCGGGGTAAGGGACTCCGGGAACGCCTCGGCGGGCGGCACCCGCGGCCGTTACTCACCGGGCAGGCGGCGGGGACCGGCGGGCGCGCAGCTCCGCTCCGCTCCTCACCGCGCCGCCCGCAGCCGTTACGCAGCGGGGCGCGGCGCGCGCGGGGCCGTTACACCCCTCAGGCGGCGGCGGTGCGCGGGGAGGGGCGGAGAGCGGGGCCCTACCTGGGCGGTGGGCGGCCGGCCATGGCGAGACCCCGGCGGCGGCGGCGGGACCCTCGGCTCCGGCGGAGTCGGGGCGGCGGGAGCGCGGCCCCGGCGCTCTGCGGCGCCCGGCAGCCCGGCCCTCCGCCTCACTCCTCCCCTGCCCGCCCCGCCGCTCCCCTCCCGCCCTCACACCTCCCTCGGGGCGCGGTGGCGGGGCTTTGCCCACCTGCGAAGCGCCGGGTGGCGGCGGGCGGCCGGGCGGAACATGGCCGGGGCTGCGGGCGGCCGGTCCCGCTGGCTCCGTCCCGTGTCGTGCGGGGCTCGCGGTTCCGCGCTCCGCTGGTGCCGTGCAGCCGGGAGCGGCCGCCAGGTGCTGGCTCCCTGCGCTCCGCCGTGCGTCGTGCTGCCCCAGCCCCGTGCCCATGTGATTCACGTGGCGGGTGCTGCCCGTCTGCGTCTGAGATGTGACGCTCGAGAATTGAGAGAGGGAGCCTGCTCGGGTCACTACGTCGCAGCCCGGCTTTGCGCTCTTGCAGGCTGGTTCATTTAGTTCTATCGGCAGAGCTGGTTTTTTTTTTTTTTTTTTCTTCCCTCTGAGACGGTGCTGAATGTTTTGCGCCTCAGCTTTGTCGTGTCTGTGCGCCCACGTCTGGGAACCTGTGCCGTACAACTATTAGAATTGGCTTCTCGTCATAAAATTCTGAAGGGGTGAAGATTAACAGCATCGGAGCCCCAGCGAGGCGAGGTGCAGACACGGCGTGTGCTGGGTTCGCGGGAGACCTTCACTCAGGGCTTGTAAATATCCAGGCACTGCCAGAGGCTCGGCTGATGTCCAGTGAGCCCGGCTCCTCAGTCATCACTGGCCTCAGAGATGTGCTGAGTAAATTCAGAGGCTGAGAGGCAGGGCGGGAGATGACAGTAGCCAAAGCCACACTTAGGCAGTGATTTTTTTCCCTGTACAGTAGAGACTCAGTGTTTCTGTCGTTTAAATGCTTTGTTCCCGTGTCCTGTCTACACCTTGCTATTCCCTTTAGTTGCTGGAAGTCACGAAGCTTATTGAGATCTAGAAGGGGCATGCAGAGGGAATAATTTTATATATTATATCAGGTTTTGTTCTCTGTTCAAGTTTACAGTGCATGAATCAAACAAACTTTGGAGCTAGAGGCTTGGTATCATCTAACTCCTCTGGAGCCACTGTTTTTCATCCTTCAGAAAGGCTACTAGAAGAGTTTGTTTTCATTGCCTTTTGCTTAACCCAGAAGAGAAAGTTCATGTTAATTTTTAAACACCTCTTAAGACTGTGCTGAGGATGTGGATTATCCCTGCTGTTGTAGCAGTCGATCTGTCAACTTATTAGGTGACAAATGAGGATGGCAGAAATGATAGCTACATTGTGGTAGCCAAGGGCAAATAGGAATCAAGGCTTTGGATAGGTGCTGGCTTTTAAGTGCAGAGTGGAGAAGCTGAGAAAACTGAGCCAGTGGAGCCTCTTAGGGGAGCACTTGTAGGAAGCATGGCGGCCTACTGCCAGCCCTTCTGGCAGCCCAGAGACCCAAGGAATCTTTTTGGGCTCCGAGTGAATGAGTTGGAAGTCCTGAAATCCAGAGGCAGGCAAATCAGAGACATTACCTGCTGAAACATGAGTCCTGCTCACTCCTGAAACTGGGTGACATGTTACCTGCCAATATGCTCCCTGTGCTCAGTGTTTAACCATTGGCTCCTCAGAAGCAGCCCTTGCAATGCTGTGCTACCTTTCTCACTCTCCACATGCTCTTGCACCTCTTCTTTCTGGAAACAGGCTTGAATGCTCTTTTCTCCTCCTTGGCTGTCACCACACATGCCCCATGGTTTGGGGGTAATTTAAACTCCCTGGTCTCCTGCATCTCTCAATGCTGTTGACTTTGTCTCCCTTCAGTTCTCTTTTAATAAGCATGATTTTCCTACCCATGCAGTGCCTAAAATTTTCTATCAGCTTCCATTTGATCAGTTACTTTAATTTCATCCATCTTCTCCAAATCGCTTGTACATGACTATGCATCAAATCTCTGTTTTTGTATTTTAAGTGTCCTATTTTCTCTTCCTTGTCACAGCATTGCCTTTCTGATGAATTCAATCCTATTGCCACCTGCCTTCTAATCTCACACACTTCCTCATTTGGTCGCTCGTCTGCTACTTCTTCACTGTCATGATCTTATCCTTTATTTGCCTCTGTTTAAGTATTTTTTTTCTGTCCCAGACATTTATTGTTACTTCTGTTACTGTCCACTCCGACTCTATGAGGTGTCTCTTCAGGCTGCATTTAAGCCACCGATCTTATACTTTACTGAATTCTTCCTGAATCCTGGAGAAGAGGCTCAAATATTACATACGTATAGGTCCTCTGTTTGTCTCCCATCTCTTAGCTTTTCTGTTACTTTTTCCCTCACAATGCACAATTCTTTTTTCTCCCTATCTTTGCTGTTCACTCACTTATACTTTCAACCTCCACCGTTTTTTTGTTTGTTTGTTTGTTTCTTCCTCCCTTTTTCATTCTTTACTATTTTGCTCTAAGTTGATAAGCAACAGTATTCACATTCCTATTTCTGGGTTGCAGAACAGCTGCTGGATGTGACAGATTTCCAGCTAAGGATAGTCTGGAGATAGGAAATGCCCATTATCTTTTGGTGATATTTGCACTCCAGAAGTTCTTAGAGCATTTTCCAGTCTCATTTCTGATTGCCTGTTCTTGTGAATTGTCTGAGGAAAAGCTCTGTGTCACAAAGAGAAGTTTTTCCCTGATTAGTGGTAGGGATATTTGTTGCTCACTCTCTTCTGTGCATTTAGTCTTTGTTCTGGATGTGATATGGCTCTGAAACACATTTTTCCCATCATAGACCCTGCCACTCATTTGTCTCTTACTCCAGCAGATAGCACTGAGATTACATGTGCTGGTTCTTGCTTTGATTTTTATCATGTGCTAGCAGTCAATTTGAAGCCCTCTCGTTGTCATCCTGTGATTTGATTCCTTCTCTCTTTTTTTTTTTGTGTTAGTTGCTATTTATTGTTTGATGCTATGATCCTGCAAAATCTCTGCTAACCTGTCTTGTACAGGCACAGTCTTTATTGATTCTTCTCACCCAGTCCTTATCTTTTGAATTTCCTCACAATTACTGGAAATGCCCTCATTTAGGTCATCGGCTCTCCTCTCCTGTGAATGTCCATACTCTTGATTTCTGAGCAACTGGCTGTGTGTGACTTTGTGCCATTGTTCTCACTGCTTGACGGTATGGGTACTTAGCCTGAAAAACCTCTTCCCTTTTCTGGAACTTGACTTGGTAGAACAGAACTGATTACTGTCACACATTGACTTATTTCAGAGCTGTCACTGGGAGTGTATTTTTTCCTCAGCTTTTAGATATGAGTTGGCATCAGGAAGAGTCTACTGTGGCAGTTTAGTTACTTCACTCTGTCTTCTCTATGTCAGCTTAGGACAGTGTTCTCATACAGAGTAACAGAAAGTTGTGGTCACGGAATAGAAGTGCCTTTGCAGAATACAGGCTATTCCTGTTGTTTGCCCTCAGATTTTGGAGGTGTAGACTTTTACAAATTTTCCAAGCAGCTATTTGAAAATAATTAATCAGCTTTTCTGATAGAATAAACTGCTGTGGAGTTGTCAGTTTGAGCTGACAGAAACTTAAACTATAGTTCCAAACAGAGCTGACTGTCACATGAGAAAATATGTCAGTCATTCCTGAAAAGGCAGAGGGAGCCAATCTTACACTGAGACTCTGAGTTGACTTTGAAGTTTTGTTCACTTGCTGTAAAAATGTCCCTGAAAACTGTGCTTTTGCATAACTTGTGGGGTTTTTTTCTTTTTTCTTCTTTTTTTCCCCAGGAAATGTATCTGGTCTGTACTGAAGCTGTAACTGGATGACATTTCCAGGAATACATCAGTTTTGTTGGAGACTAGAGAAAGCAGAGTTCTGTTTTCCACTTCACTTTGCTTTCATAGGAGCTACTTTTTCTTGAATTGTCCTGATTATAAGTAGGGATGTGGGAAATTTTGGATGCCGTACATATTTAGAAAAACAGGACCTCTCAGTATCTTAGCATTTTCTGTACAGAGACATAATTATTCCTGAATAAATTTAACGCTATCTAGTCTCCACTACAGGCACCATCTCTCTTGCATAATAGAGAAAATAATGAAATGAAATTAATCCAGTTAAGTGCTAATCTTAATGTTAGAATCACAGAATTACCAAGGTTGGAAAAGACCCCTAAGAACACCCAGTCCAACTCTTTACCTTTCACCAATGTTTCCCACTAAAACATGTCCATCATACAACATCAAACATTTCTTGAACACTTCCAGGGTTGGTGACTCCTCCACTCTCTTGGAGAAGAAGTATTTGCTAATGTCCAACCTGAATCTCCCATGGTGCAGCTGGAGGCTGTTCCCTCTGGTCTTATCACTATTTACATGGGAGAAGAGATCGACCACAACCCCCCTTTTGGTAGTTGTAGAGAGTGTGTATTGGCCTTTTGGTTCTAGTGTTGCACAAATAGTATTTTTGGTGCACCTCTCTACAATCTTTCCCATGGTTGCTGTACAGTTGGAACGTGCACATAGATCAATGGATGCACACACATGTTGGAGGATGTGTAGTTATTCCTCTATTAGTTAAAAGGTTTGCACTGAAGATCAGATAGTTGGCTTGTATGTGTTAAGATTTTGGATGAAGATCTTTTTGTCTGATAATTTTATTCTTTTAAATCTTGATGATCCAATTCCAAAATCTTCTTAGATCAAAGTATTTTTTCACACTTGTCAAAACAGGTATAAATAAATTTCATGAATGATTTTAATCTGCATTAGATCTAGCTTGCAAGCTTCTCACTGGAAATGGCCAGAAGCTTTGCATTAAGGTTGGCTAGCAAAAATTGCTGTTTGATGTAATGAACAAAAAATCATCAGTGT